TTATATTGGAATTATTATTATATTGGAATTATTATTATATTGGAATTATTATTATATTGGAATTATTATTATATTGGAATTATTATTATATGTACTCGAATAAAACTATCATATTGGTGATTGGGCAACAAATAATACACTACAGGTGATTAATTCATGCTATTCACTGAATAGCTCTGGATTTCAAATTATTGTATTTCTGATATACTAAAACCTTATTCATTTGTTTTATTCAAACTGATTGTTTATTAATTATAATAACTTTTTTTTTCAATCTTCACTCATTAGATGCTGTGACTGCATATGTGTTATATTCAACATGTTACCACGTTACATTTTGGATAATCGACTTCAGTAATGATTGCACAAATGGGAAAATGCAGATTAAATATTCCACCAGCCTCGCGACCATGCCAAATACATGGATAAATGTTGCACGGAACCCATATTTCAGTTTCATGGGCTATCCAACCTTCACTATTGCATTAGGTCCTTTCGTACCATGTACCACAGTGTACATTGTAGCTAGACTGAGATATGGTCTTAAAACAAGACACCTGGGAATGTTTAGTATATCAACAAGTAAGTCGATGTGTCAGTAACACCCGCGCGCACTTTGCTGGTAAAGGACCTTTGAAGTGTTGTTCAAAATCGAAAACCACTCTTTCCATTGACTTTTAAATAAAATTGTACCTTTTTCTTTGATAAGACACGGACTTTTGAAATAATCTGATTTTTTGAAGAAAAAAAAAAATTTTATCAAAAAGAGAGAAACATGCGCTATATATTCTCGTTCCGTTCGAATGTATCTGTGCAATTGTTGTGCTTGATTTAAGTTGAACTTCTAAAACAATGTTTCTCGCTGCCAAAACACTTTCGTGCTGTCTTGTCCTCCTGATTGGCATGCTTGTCTTTTAAAAAAAAGTATCCTTTTTTATTTTTTTTACGGACATGTAAGCTTTGAAAAGTGTACCTTTTTCCACACGTATTCCCTCCAGCCAAGTTCCCCGGGGAAAAAATATGAACTCACATTTGTCTGTAGACGTTTCAAACAACACAATGATTGACAAAAAGACACGGTACTCTGCACTTTCTATATTCTGAATTAGATTTATGTTCTTTTTACAGGTTGCCCCTGTGATCCATGCATTTGTATAGGGGACCCTCACTATTCGGATTTCGGTGATAAGAAGTTTGATTTCAATAGACCATGCAGCTACGTTCTGAGCACGACAATTCAACCATCTAATCATTCTTTAACATTGATTGCCAAACATAGTGTTGGCCGTCCATCTGTTAGCATAGAGAGTGCAACTATAGAGGCAGATGGCCACACAGTCGTTCTAGAGGAAGATGGTAGTATCACGGTATGTACAAATATTTGAGTTTCTCAATACCACTAGTTAAATTGTGTTCATCAGCATATAATGTAACTCTTTAATGGATATAAATATTTGTTATGGCACAACACAAACTGAAATGAATTAATACCCTGCACTCGTATTAATGGTTATGTATTTCGTATCGAAGACGACGACTTCTTCACAAGGAACCAGTTTGAATAATTCTCATGAAATATTGTCATGTAATTCCTTTTTATGGCATATCACAAGACTTACATGAAGAATAAAGGATTTATCAAAACGCCATTATCCTGGAAATGATACCTGTATTAGGTTGATATTCAAACAATTACTTTATTATTCACAGTACACACATGAACGTGTGATGGAACAACGCAATGACTATATTATTTGCACATTATTATTACAATCAAACAGCGAACGCTGACATGCTAACTATAATTTTAATTCAAAGTACAGTACCAGCCGTCCTTTGTTTTTCAAATATTATTATCTATATATATTAATTATTTATTTATTGGGACTGCATTGTTACGAGGTTTACGGGGGAAAGCTGACACGCATAACATTGTCTACTTGGACGTTACTTGGACAAAACAGACGAATTTGGAGACACATCGTTTGAGAGGAAGTCGGGCATGGGATGGCGGAGATTAGTAAGTTATGGACGATGCATCATTGACGAGTATTTAAACTTCTACATGTATCTACTGACAGAGTTTTGTACAACAACGTCAACGAATATAAACATCCTGCCTCTACGTGCACCAAATTACTACCAGCTCTCGCATGCAACAAACTCAATTGTTGTGTGACTGTAATATATATATTACTATTTTTATCGTTCACACATGTTTATGTTTATATCATTCTTTATCACTATCTCAGTTTGTGACGTCTACTAGTATTTAACAGCGTCGACGATCCGAGAACCTTAAACTAGGTTGTCAAGCGAGTACTTTATGACCTGATTTTAAAACCACATCCCCGAAACGATGGCATATTTCTAAGTTGAAATCACCTGAAACAATGCCTACATTAGTTTTTTGCTCTGGTCTGGTTATAATCTGAAACGTAGACTTTGTCAAATGCGTGCATCATACGTCGTCTGTCAACTTTTTTCATTCGAACGACTTCTTCTCTAAAACCGTCAGCTGGATTGCCTTGCTTTTATTGGTTATTATTTTTTTGGATTTTTTCACTTTTCCACTTTCTTACGTTATAAATGGGCTGTGTATAATGCATGGAGTCCAGTAGACAACTGTATCAGTTGGAAGCTAGGCTTTCTCAGTACACATTGTTCTGGAAAATGAACTAGATGGCCAATGTTTTCCATGAATGCGCAGGTCAACGTCATTTCAAGGTATATACGTTTGCTTTTATATGGGTAATACTGAACAGTGAGGGAGGGAGATACTAAAACACCTCCCCAAATTCTTCAAGGCTTGGTCAAAGTCATCTCAGGGCCCCAGGCCAGGGTCATCTCAAAGTCTCATGCGGATTGCAATAGTATTGGCCAGGTCAGGGTCATCTCAGGGCATGTACAGTAACCAAGTAATACAAAACAATATTCTGGTAATAGTGACAACAACTTCATATTTCAGCTTCAATTTCCTGTACACCCACATCATCAATTATATATATCCATGCATTACATACACAAATACGTTTCCTTTTATGGGATATGCCCTTCCAGTGACCATTGCCATAATTACTAAACTGTCATAGATTCCACTTCTCCTATCCACCTAGTAACTGCCACTGCCCTCTGCACTTGTCACTTACAGTGGAGCTCCACCGACATTGAGGTCGCTTGTTATTATTTTAACATCATTTTCTTATTTCGCTATAATTGTCACATTATATGGTCTTTATTATTATTGTCTCATTAAGTATTTTACCTTTATTTGGTCTTTATTTTGCTATTATTAGGTCATTATTCTACTATCATTTCATCATTACTTGAATATTTTGTTATTACTGTACCATTATTTCGTTATTAATATGTTATTTCGCCAATATTTGATTATATCGTATTATTGTCAAAATCGTGCCATTATATGTTCATAATTAGTGGATTTACTTCCAATGTTGGCACTGCTTATAGATGGCATTATGGGAATGTGTGGCCTACGGGGTCAGTATCTTTTTGGGCAATTTGGTTTAAGATAGGGTATGCATAACCCACGCATTGTTTTAGATGTGGCGACCATAGAAATCGTTTTGATCTAGAACAGCAGATGATATTTTGTTTACAAAATTTCGGGCAAAAAGTTAATTAATCTATGCTTTGAAAAATATAGAAACCACAGTGGAAAATTCGTATAAATATCGTGGTCATGATTCAATAGGGTATACTTTGTATCTGTTGTGGTATGATGGGGTCTGGGTTTGGACGCTGGGACTACACCCCTGTGGGGAGGGGGAGTACTTAGTTGAAAAAGGGGTGTGCTGTCAGCACCTCCAGACACCTACACATTTCCAAAATGCTAAAATGTTCCTTTTTTAAACAATTCTTATATATGTCAGTAATGACATATTCTGACAATTTTACTCAAAAAGAACCCTATTCTAGGCACTTTGGGTCAAAATGGGTACCTTATCGGGTGGCACAAAGCTAAATTGCATTTATATGTGAGTACCCATACCACACGCCCATATGTACCATGTATTTTAGTGAGCACTACTCGGGCACTACTGCGTCGCCATACAGCCTTTGTGAATACTTTGCGGTAACCAATATTTATTTCAAAATGTAGTGAACTAATGCAAATTTTCAGATTCTACTTATCAACCTGATTAGTTTTATTATTATTATTATACATGTAGTGTTCTAAATATATTTTAGGTGAAAACGCAAATTATATACAATTCCGATCAAAATATGAAAAGTTGGGGCGAAGCATACCAAAATGGTGAATTTAAACACCTCTTTCTTTGTTCAGCGTGTAAAAAACTAAACCTATAGTCTAGAAAAGTTTCGAAGGTGCATGGTAGACTTTTCCAGATAATGGGCTAAAATATATCATAACTTTTGGTTTCCAAAAGTTTTTTTTTTTTTTTTTTTTTTTTTTTACATTTTTTCAAAATAAAACAAGCCCCGATCAGTATATCAGAAACATGCAATTTATTATATCATAGTGTTCTATATTTAAACTAGATCGAAAATGAACCGTGTAATGGTAGTGCGTTTGTTTGCCCGGATTTGACTGTAGCTGTGGAGACCATTGATCAGTACACTCAAATGCTTTTCTCTTTAACTGAAAAATGGTGGATCTTGTGGAAAAAGAATCCGCATACCAACCGAAATGAGATACAGTTTGAAATCGAAGATGATTCTCCTCTTGTTGGAAAACAAACTGGAATGCTTGGACCGAAGTTTGCAGACAATGAAAACCATCCATTCCAAGGTTTTATCATGAAAAATGGTTCCATCACCTTTGATGCCATAGAGCATGGTAACAGCTGGGAAGTTTCAGGAAGGTATGACTAAAATTGCACAATCTATTTAGTGTATTTCTCAGAAGTAATAGGGCAGTCAATTTGCAAACTTGCTATCGAATTGCCTAACTAGTCGTTGTAAAAGTAGTCCACAATCAATAAATTGGTAGCCAAGTACGAGGAATTCACACACACAAAAATCTCCTCACCCCATTTTTTTTAAATAACACAATGGGGAGTTTTGTCATAATCGCCCTTTCCAAAATCAGAATCACAGTCAGCTAGCGTACAAGTGATAGTGTGATAAATGCTATTAATTCGCCGATATTTACTACATGGGTCTTCTTAAACATGGTTTGAAACTAAATAAATATACAAGTTGAAAAACGGGATTTTCAGATTCCTACAAATCAGGAAAAAAATAACAAACTTTATCAGCCAAACGATCCATTGGGGTAAAATTAAGCCAACCATGGTCGTCGTGTTTGCGTTTAATCATTTGCATACGAACACCTCTTTACGAACACGTCTTGCCCTAATTACACTTTGATTGGTTTTTCGCATTCAAATGTTGACCATCCAATGATTCAAATGTTGTAACCTTAAACTGTGTTTCTGTGTAACTATGATAATTATGCATATCTATAATGTAATATTGTGCTCTATTACAGTTGTCCATCCTGACGTGGATATCCTGCGAATGGATGGATTGAATAGACACCGAATTCTTCACGATTGATTTCACAAAAGTGCTTAAAGCTTTATTTGCTAGTGTCGGTGACTGGCGTTGTAGATGTAGTTGTACGTTATAACAGTTATTGAACAAAACATGAACAGGCATGTGAATCTTACCCATATATTGTTTTTGCACGAGAACGTTCAATGCCTTACAGGGCAATGCCCTACAAAATGCATAAAACACATGTATTCAAATAGTACGGGAATAAAGGCTTGCAAAGTAACATTCGTCAGGTCTTTTTTTTGAGAAGATCATCACGCACACATTCTAGATAAGACAATTATATACCTGATATTACCCACGGCGGTATGCATGACGAATATATATTCGTCTAGAGCTGGTAGTTTCACATCACCACATTTCTACACACCACATTTCGATTATATTTCGATTACATTTACAGTTAATATGATAATTGTAATGAATTTGTGGTTCATGCTAGAAGTTTGAAAATGCTAAAGATAACATAATTTTCACTTTTGGCTAGGCTATATCCTATACTTTCATATCGTGGCGCTCTCTTCCTTGTGTCGCATATTTTATGGATGTCTCAATATTCATGCTTTGCTGGCACACATCAAGCCTAGCCGTGTGTCATACTTTTGTATTTGTGATAGTATTTCAATCATTTCTGATACATTTTATGTCATTGAACTTGCCAGTTTCTGACATTAAGATTTGTATTGACACTGCAGAGCTATGGTTCTTCCCATACACTTGCGTAACACAAATAAATAAAGAACCTTTTAACAACACGTTTCCTTTTAGCGCGCCATTTTGCTTTTCAAGATTGAAAAAGAAAGAGTTAAACATGAGTTGTTAATAACATTATGTCGGGCACCCTGTGTCTCCACCTTTGTGACTTCGGCGAGCAATATCCTTTACTGTACAAGTTTGAAAACCATGCTCAATATTTGGTATATTCTTTTCAAGTTCAAGTTTTTGGTATTTATATTTGTTGTGTTTAAAATGACAATCACTCGCGGATTTAGGAGGAGGCGCGCCAGGCTTGCGCCCCTTCAGCCCGCAAAAAAAAATGACAAATCCAGCCCACGTCAAGAAGAGCGCACCCCCTTGTCGAATTTCTTGATCACTGCTGCGAAAGCACCACGATTTTTAGTTTCGCATAATTGGCGTGATGTTGCTGCCAACTAGCTCAAAACTCGGAAATTATAACATAATCATAATCCCCCAGCACAGATGGGTTCAACCAGCATACTAGGTTTTGGTTAGTAAAGTTTTTTGTAATAAATACAAAATTGTCATCTAACTGTAAGACCGTCGCTGATTGGCTGATGAGTTGGAATGAGAGTTTTTGGTTTCAAATACCCCAGGAAGTGTTCTATGTTCTTCGTGTAATTAGGTGTTCGTATTAAAGGGATATTTCCACACAAAAACGACGAATTCGGCCGAATTTTGTTATCGGTTGGCTTAATATTACCCCCAGCAGATCGTATTTCTGTGAAATATTGGCATTTTTGTCCTGATTTGGAGGAATCTGACAAACGCGTTTCACAACTTGTCTCTTATTTAGTTTTATGCCGCATTCAAGATGGCGGCCCCATATAGTAAATATCGCATTTATTTTATTATTACGTGTGCGCCAGCTGACTGTGCTGTAAACCTAGCCCGGTGCAGCATTGCTGATAGAGATACGCTTAATATATAATCTGTACAGACGTATCAGAGTCTTCCCCCTGTCTCATGTAAAGTTGTGTACATAACCATAATAAAACCCCATGCATCAATCAATTTAAAACGAAGTAAAATATTCAATTAAAAACGTGAAGTGCAAATATCTGGTTCCACGCCGCCATAGCGGCCCAGGTCAGGTGCAGTTGTGCCATTAACACCCCTCCAATAGTGGCGGGGTCATCATTAAGTGTGTTAATGTGATTTGTTACAAGTTTAAAACATGTCAGACGCTCTACACTATTTGTAGGGGCATAGACATGAACAAATTATGCAGTGCATTGCTGAACGTGCCATGCATGACCACT